GAAATTGATGAAGAGAGAGCATCTTTACAGAAATCCATCAATGTTACTAGTGCCTTGATCACACAGAAAGATGAGGAACTGGAAAAACTCCGAAATGAGGTAAATGACAACAGTGAGATGTTGCTTCATTTCAGACCGAGTTATGGCTAGGAGCATATAGAACCATAGAATGGTTAGGCTTGGAAAGGACCTTAAGATCATCCAGGTCCAACCCTCTGCCATGGGCAGGGATACCTCACACTAAACCATCTCACCCAAGGCTCTGTCCAACCTGGCCTTGAACAGCACCAGGGACGGAGCTTTGTGTGCCGGCTGCTGAAGGGTTGCCCAATGTCTTTATTAATGTAGCATATTTAAACCTCAGCATGAGATCTGTGGGCCTGGTTAGGTGAGCTCCAGCGTGTACCTGTGGGGGTTGTTTAGCCCTTGCTACTGAGGACGTTGCCCTGGTGCCCCCAGCTCATTCTGGAATGCCTGGGCATTCCTCACTGGCTCTTACAGATCACGGTGCTCCGCGGGGAAAACGCCTCTGCGAAAACCCTGCAGTCAGTGGTGAAGTCGCTGGAATCTGACAAACTGCAGCTCGAGGAGAAGGTGAAGAGCTTGGAGCAAAAGCTCAAGGAGAACAACGAGCAGCCTTTAACTGTAACGGGCTCCTCAGGTAAGAGCGGCCTCTCCACGGGCTCTGTGCCTTCAGCTTTAGCCTCGTGGGTTATTGCCCATGCTGCCAGGTGGTGAAAGGAGCCTTAACTGCAGCTGAACCTCCTGAGAAATGGGACTGCCTCCTGTAGGATGCACCTAAGATTTGCATGAAGAAAACATGAAAGAGTGAAAGGTGCCCATGAACCCCATTGACACCGGGGTGGGGTTGATCTGAATTGAAATGAATCATGTATAGAAGCCATAAACCTTTATCCTGTTCATGTCATAAACCTTTATCCTGTGTGGCTTCTGTGCAAGAGCCTCTCTCAGGCTGATCCTGGGTACTGTGTAGGCACCGTACCAAAACCACCTACCTGGGCAGAGGATGAGACCCCGGCACTTCATCCACTCATCCTTGTGTTATGTTGAGCTTCTTGAGCTCCATCTCATCTCAGCCACAGAGGAGCGTTCCCCCGCGGGTTTGTGAACCTCAGCTGTCACCTACACACGTTTTATGTATTTAATCAGTAATGTGCAGCATTCAATATGCAGCAGCCAAAACAGTTCCCCCCAAAAGTCACCCTGGCCTTACAGTGAGTGATCAGAGTAGGACTAGAGATTGACGTGACTTCAGTTCTGACTCAGGTGCTGTGTGTGTCATCTTATAGCTTGGGTTTTTTTCCTTTAAAGGTGACATTGCTGCTAATCTACTGCAAGATGAAATCACAAAGGAGAAGCAGGTATTTGATGTGGAACAGCAGCATAAGAAACCAGCCACCCCCTGCAGGCATGGGAGATGCTTTCCAAAAGACAGTTCCTGACAGATTCTGTAAATCAGGATGATATTGGGCACATTTATCCTGTAACCACCTGCTTCTGAAGGGAAATATGAATGACAGGGAGTAATAACCAAGGGATGAGGGATACTGGGGAGGTAGCTCTGGTGACTGGAGGAGGTGAGCGGGAAAGCAGGGTGGCAGGTTCTGATGCACGCCCATTGGTGTGGTGCAGCCCAGCAGAGCAGGCTCAGGAGCTGCTCCCTGGATTCTTTCCAAGGGTTTCTTGGGTGTGAGTGGGGAATGAGGTGGGGGTCACCTGAACCTGCAGTGCTGGGGAATGGGCAAGCTGAGCTCCTGTGCTGAGCTCCTGCAGTTGGAAATGTTGGTCTTTGCTGCTGACCTGCAGAACTCCCCTCAGAACGAGGGTCTGTGCATGCAGTGGAGTGAGGAAGCTGCTCCGTTCACACGTGCTGGGTAACAGGAGCAATGTGTGTCACAGGGTGATCATGAACTTGTGAGGTGCTGCCATGTAACAGGCAGCCTGTGACAAGTGCCTAGGAGATGAGGCTGGAATAGAAGCACCTTCTGCTTGTGACTGAAGTCCTTGTTAGATCCCTTATGTCCTTCTTAGTGTGTGCAGAGATCAGAAGTCTGTAATACTCACTAACCACCAATCTTTTTCTGGTTTTCTGCCTCCCTGAATTCCCCTGCTGGTGACAACCCTTCCTCCCCATCAGCACGAGGTTTGTGCCACTTCTTGGCTTCCTTTCTCGTATTCACTGTGTGAAGTTTGCATTGCTCAGTTACGTTCAGCAGTGCTCTGGCTTATGATCTCTGTGATGGGTGTGCTGTGCTGTCCCACTGCCCCTTGGGACGGCTCCAGGGGTATCCAGCAGAGCTGCAGGCTCAGGGGAGCAGGGGCATGGTTCTGATCAGAATTACACAAGGGATCTGTGTTTAAAATGTACATTAGAAAAGGAAGTCGAGCGGTCAGGGGTGGCTTGAGACCCACCAAGGGCTGTCAGAGGGGTTGGCTGGGAGGAAGAGCCTGGCTCCCTGGGTGGAAATCGTGCTGGGGGTCTTGGAGGTCCTTTGGGATGTTCCTGTGTCCTGTCTGTGGGAGCTCTGTGTAACCCAGCAGTCCAGTGGTAAGAGTTAATGCAGGGCTGTGCAGGTCAGTCTGAGGGTTAGTGCTTTGTTGCTCAGTTTCTGTGAAGCTGAGTCCTCACCCTGCTGACTCCTTCTTGACTATCGTAGATCGACTTCCTGAACTCAGTGATAGTGGATCTGCAGAGGAGAAACGAAGAATTAAACTTGAAAATACAAAGAATGTGTGAAGCAGCCCTCAACGGCAACGAAGAGGAGATAAATAACTACGACAGGTATAAACCCCACAGGAATTATATTGGCTTGTGTTGGGAACTGTTGGTAGCAGTCAGATTTGAGCTGCGCCAGCGTGGTGGCAGCTGCTGGGAAGGAAAATCATAGCATGCCCTTGAACTTAGCAATTGAATCCAGCCCTATGTCAGGCCTAGAGTGATTCTTTAGTTATCAGTCTCAAGCACTGATGTATCATAACAGGTTTGTTGTCAGTCACAGTTAAGTCTGGCCCTTTCCAGGTTGAGGAGGAGCATTTTTGCTCTCAAGAGGCCAGTAACTACTCTGAGAGGGGGAGATCCAGTCTGGAGAAGTGGCACTAAAACCTGTCTGATGGCTCGTGACCTCAGATCTGCCCTCTGAAGGGACAGAGAAACCAGTTCTTGGGATTCTTTTCTAAACAGTGTCTGTGTCTGTGCAAATACACAAAGGGAGCAGTCTGCTCAGTCAGTGTCACAGTGCCAGGGGTTATGGGGTACTTGAGGTGTCTGAAGATCTTCAGAAGGGTTTTGGTCGAATGCTGCGCCATTCCCTTGGTCTCAGTAACGGGCAGGGGAGGGACTCAGGCCTTTCACCTTATGAGCCCCCTGCTTGACCTGTGCCGGTGCCGCCCTTGCAGCGAGGAGGAAAGTTTGTCCAAGAAGAAACCGCGCCTCTTCTGCGACATCTGCGGCTGCTTCGACCTTCACGACACCGAGGACTGCCCGACGCAGGCGCAGATGCTGGAGGAGCCGCCGCACTCCGCCTACCACGGCAGCAGGAGGGAGGAGCGGCCCTACTGCGACACCTGCGAGGTGTTCGGGCACTGGACGGCCGACTGCAACGACGACGAGACCTTCTGACGGCCGGACCGAGCCCGCGGCAGCCACTGACCACCACCAGCATCGCCCTGTGCTGAAGGGCAGGGAAGGGATGACGTTTCTTACCCCTCCTGCTCCCCTTCCCCTTGGCCCATCGGCTCCACACTCAGTACATTGATAACTGTTTGGCTCCTCCACTACTCAGTGCCCCAGATCTCCCTTTAACAAACTTTTAAGTGGAATATAAATAAAGGATTTAACAAATGACTTTATGCTGTTTCTTCCCAGGTTCTGGGTTTGTCCCCACTCCTAACAAGAAATGCCCTCGTGCTGTTGCATCTATTGATGGGAAAACGTGTATAGGAATGACGCACTATAGTTATATTAAAGCTTATTTAAATACCTTAAACTTACGCTGTTAATTTTCCTATTTGCACTAAACTGTTTTAAGGCTGAATTTGTACATTTAGATTTTTAAGCTGGTTTTTTTTTTTGTTGGACACTGGACTGGGTTTGAGAACCGTTTCCTTTGTTTTCCTTGACTCCCGTGGTTGTGATTTTGCTCAGTGAACGTGAGCTCCAGGCCGTGATTTGGTGAATGTGAATCGTGAAGCAGGTAAGAACCGGAGCTGCTGCGGTGGGGCTGCAGCTCAGCCCCGCTCTGGTGTGGGACCCCCCCCTTGGTTTGCATTCTTTCAGCTTCTCTCTAGCGTGTGCGTGATGTGTGTGTGTAAATATGCAGATATAAATTAAAGTTATATTTTGGAGAAAAAAAAGAGGAATTGTGTTTTCTTTCCTACCTTTTAGTGCTGTCAGGAAGGGGACGTGCTCCACGTGGGACACAGGTGACCTGTGAGTAAAAAGAGGTGTGTTAGCAGCACTGAGGGATGGGAATGGCTGGATGGAGTGTTGCTGCCTCCAAAACCCAGTCAGAAGCTGAGGAATTGGTTGTTAAGACGTTCTTTACTCTGAGGGTGGTTCTATTAGAATCCTGCCTGCTAAATAATGTTGGTTTTCCCTTTGGAAGGAAATACCTGCTGGAAAGGGTGATGCTGAAGTTGCAGAGGCATCGGGAGGAGCTGTCGTGTACAGCAGCATTCTCCTGTATGTGTTATACACACATGCATTCTGTAGTTGCATGAAGAGTTTTAATTGGCAGCCCCATCCCTGGCAGTGTCCGAGGCCAGGGTGGACGGGGCTGGGCGCACCCTGCTCCCGTGGGACCTGTCCCTGCCCGTGGATGAGCTCCAGGCTCCCCCCAGCCCCATTCCCAGATCCCATGGATTCGGTGCAGAGCACGGGTCCGCCCACCAGAGGGCGCCGTGCCACCGCGCACGCTCTGCGTTGCTCCCACCCCTCCCGTCACGTGATATAAATCATGTGACGGCCGCCGTCACGTCACGTGAACGGTGCGGTGGATCCGCGATGGCGGCGCACCTGAGCTCGGGGCGGGTGAACCTGACTGCGCTGCGCGAGGCGGGGCGGCGCGAGCTGCGCGAGTTCCTCGACAAATGCGCGGGGAGCAAGGTGCGGGGGGGAGGGGAGGGGTGCGGGGGGGGAGGGGCAGCGGCGGGACCCGCTCTGACCCCCGACCCCCCCCCCCAGGCCATCGTGTGGGACGAGGCCCTGACCGGACCCTTCGGGCTCATCGCGCAGTACTCGCTGCTCAAGGTAAAGGCGGGGGGCGGTGGTGGCTCCGTGCCATGCGGGTGCTGCGGCCCCTTGGAGCTGACGCGGGTCCCCCCGCGCAGGAGCACGAGGTGGAGAAGATGTTCACGCTCAAGCCGGGCCGCCTGCCCCAGGCCGACGTCAAGAACATCATCTTCTTCGTGCGGCCGCGGCTGGAGCTCATGGACATCATCACCGACAACGTGCTCAGGTCCGGCGGGCGGGCGGGGACTGGGCTGCCCCCGCAGGAGGGGGCGGGCTGGGCCTGCAGCCGCCACACCGGGTTTGTCACCTGCGGGCTGGAAGGAGGCTGCAGCGCGGCTGCTCTCTGGGCTCGGGTTGGGGTGTGAGGCGCTGCAGCGGGTGCCCCTTTGGGCTGTGATGCAGGGGTCATTCCTTGTGGGAAGCCACACGTTCCTTCGGATTAGCTGGAATGATGTGTGCTTGATTGAAGAGAACTGCAGGAAAGCCTCGCCCTGGGTTCAGTCCTGTGGGTGCACGTGCTAAACCGTTCCAGGCTAGTAGCTGAAATCACTAAGAACCACCACATGCAGCATTCCCGTTCCGCTGGCATTGCGTGCCCGCAGCCCATGCTCTGTGCTGTTACCTGTGCTGTGACTCCGCAGGGAGGACAGAGGCCGCTCTCCCCAGAGGGACTTCCACATCCTGTTTGTGCCGCGCCGCAGCCTGCTGTGCGAGCAGTGGCTGAAGGAGCAGGGAGTGCTGGGGTCCTTCATCCACCGCGAGCAGTACAGCCTGGACCTCATTCCCTTTGACGGGGACCTGCTCTCCATGGAGGCCGAGAGCGCCTTCAAGGTGAGCACTCGTCCGAGGGGAGCCGTGCTGTGGTTTTGTGCTGTTGGGGTTTGGTCCAGAGGCTCTCAGAGGGTTTGTCAGTGGCTGTGCATCAGGGATGGGCCTTGGGAGCAGACGTGGCCTGGTTCCGGTGCTGCTCTCTGGCTCTACCGGCTGTAGCTGCTGGTGCTGTTTGCACAAGCTGAGCACTCAGGAGGATTAAAATACTCGGTTGTTGCAAACAGTCAGCACTGTTTATGTCAGTGCACAGCCAGAGAGCCCCACATAATGGTTAATGCTGTGCTCTAAACTGCACCAAGAGCTTACAGCTGTCACGTACGAGCGGCATGGCCTATGCCCTCAGAATGCTGTGGCTGGGGACAGCAAGGTCTGAGAGTTTCTTTGGCCATTGCTGACTTGTTAAGCATAACCCAGAGGACACGCTGGGGCTTGTCAGTAGCTGTGGTGAGGTGCTGTGTGCTCGGATCGGCCTAGATTAGAGGGAGAGACTCTATTCCTCCTCTCCATCAAACTGGGAGTGGTGGGGAGTTCAGAATCACTGCAGTGTCTGATCAATGATCTGGTGCAGTGACAGCACAGATAGGGTTCGTATCTGTCAACAGCCACAGTCTTTTCCCAGTCTGTGTCTCCTCTGAACTCTTCACAAGGACCACAGAGGTGCTGTGTGAGCACCTTCCATCAGGAATCCATCCCTCTTGTTGTGTAGGAGTGTTACCTGGAGAGCGACCAGACGAGTCTGTACCACGCAGCAAAGGGGCTGATGACGCTGCAGGCTCTGTATGGAACCATCCCGCAGATCTTCGGGAAGGGCGAGTGTGCTCGGGTGAGGCAAATGGGAAATCCCATCTTGTTCTGTGGAACCGCCCCTGGGGTTTCTGAATCCAGCCAGGGACCCTTTTTGTCATACCGGAATTTCAGGATCATAGCTGCAGGCCTTTGTCATCTCTGGCCAAAAGAACACGCTTTGCTGTTCCGGAAGTCTTCCCATCAGGAGGATTCAGCTGTTCCCATGTGCTTTTTGCTCACAGGGGCACTGCCTTTGTGTTCTTTCTGTGGAGTTTTAACACTTGGTTGCTGGTATCACAAGGGCTGAGTGAAGTGGGAAATGTGTAACCTGCTGCCCATGCCTTGGCCTTCTCCTCTCTCCCTGTAACCCACCCTTCTCTCTGATGAACCTGTGGTTTAGTTGGTACCTTTGGTAGTGAGGGAGCGGCCTGAGATGAACGCGGTGCTTTGGCCGCAGTCACTCGCACTCAGCTGCGGTGAGCAGCAGAGGAGGATTTTGTTTGCTTTCCCCAGTCCTGCCCCTGTTACATCAGATCCATCCCTGGTGGCCTGCCCCATAACCAGAGGGGTGTGGTGTCTTTCCAGCACGTGGCTAACATGATGATCAGGATGAAGCGCGAGTTCCCTGGGAGCCAGAACTCGATATTTCCCGTCTTCGACACCCTCTTGTTGCTGGACCGCAACGTGGACCTGCTGACGCCGCTGGCCACGCAGCTCACCTATGAGGGGCTGATAGATGAGATCTATGGGATCCAGAACAGTGAGTACTGCGGAGCGAGGGGTCCCCGGCGCGCTGAGGAGCCTCAGGTGCCTTTCTGCTTCACTGAATGACTGTGGTGTGGGAGCAGCTGACTGGAACTTGGTGCAGGGATGGTTCAGTCCCAAGCTAGAGCTAAAGATCAGCCCTGGCTCTCTTTGCACAGGAAGGTGAGAGCAGGGCTTGGTTCCTTGTGGATGTGGGCTGGGGGCAGGCACAGTGGCATGGAACGTGCCCGGGGGGGGTACAGATGTTAGCGTGTGCTTCACCCTCCAGCCCGCTGAGCTCAGGTACCACACTGTGGGGACAGGAACAGTCTGTGAAAGGCTGCTCAGAGCGGTCTCTGGCTCTTCAGGAGATACAAAGAGTAACTCCAGAGAGGCATTGATGGGGTTCATTCCCTCCTGCTGTAGCGACTGGCAAGCTGCCTCCAGGCCTTGTTGGAAGCTTGATGGTTAGCACTTGGGTTCTGATCATGGCTGTGGAGGTCTCTGAGTCCCTGGGAGAGTCTGTCCTTAATGAACACACACGCACTGAGCTGTCTGGGAGTTCCTGTTAGCACTGCTGCTCAGACCTGCTTCCTGCTCAGGGGACACATTTCCTTACCTTCACTTCTGCTGAAGTTCCCCTCTCTAAGGGTTATTTCTCTGTGCTTGGTAGCTTATGTGAAACTCCCTCCCGAGAAGTTTGCCCCGAAGAAGCAGGGTGAGGGTGGGAAAGATCTCCCCACAGAACCCAAGAAGCTCCAGCTCAACTCTGCTGAAGAGCTCTATGCTGAAATCCGAGACAAGAACTTCAATGCTGTGGGGTCAGTGCTGAGCAAGAAAGCCAAGATCATCTCCGCAGCCTTTGAGGTGAGGCCTGGATGTGAGTGCATCCCTTGGGCATTCCTGTTGTCAGATAAGTCACAGGCTGCACTGAGCAGGGCTGTGATTGGCAGCTCGAGCTGTTGCCATGGAGTAATCCCTCGGCCATATCAAAAACAGGGAGTCTGTTTTAGCATCCTGGTCAATTCCACTGTTAGTGCCTGGTAAATGAAAGGTCCTTTTCCCTCTGTATTCACTGAAGATGCAGATGAAAGGCTTTAAGAAACAGAACTCCAGAATGTGCATTCCTAGAGCACTAAGCATTATGGCTGGTGTAAAAACCAACAGGAATGGGAGAGCAACACTTGTCTTACAGGAGGTTTGACCTGGCAGTTCACACTTTATCTAAGATAAAGGTGGAGGGTGCTGTGGGCTGCGTTTGTGGTTTTGTTGAAAAACATCCTGTTGATGATTCATGATCCCAGGTTTCTGCTTGCAGACTCTAAGAGGCCCTGTTACACTGTTTTACTGTTTCTCTTTGCCTCTTCACTTTGGCCACATTTAAGAGAAGGCAGCGGTACCTTAACTCAAGTAGTGTGTGCTCAGCCTCATCCCCTAGTAACTGTTATTGCAGTATTAAAGGTGAAGGTGCTAAAGATGGATTATTCATACTGATTGTTAAAAAACAGGGAACTTAAACTGTCAGAGGTAATAGGTGATAATGAAGCAGTGGCACATTGGCAGCAGAGGACTCCTTCATTGCAGGCTGCGTCATTATCACCCTCCTGCCTGCACTTGCCCATTTAAATCCTCCACATGAGTCAAATGATTATTTTTATTCCAAGTTGCCGCAAGAGGCACAAATGAAACAGTCCAGAGGCTGCTCTGAGAGCTGAAGTCTGCACTGTGCTTCATCAGATCCTTGCTCTAAACCTGGGACATTGTTACAGCCAGGTACAGGGAATGGCAGGCTCCTGCTCACGAGGACACAGACCCCACCAACCCAGTTCCTCAGTGCCTTTCACTACTGTTTTGGGGGGAAATGTCTCCATCTCCGAGTTCTTTTGCCTACAGCATTGTGTTTATTAGCAGCTAGCAAAGTACCTCATCTTTGCCTGAAAAAGGTAGTTTTGTGGGGAAACAGGAGCAGAGAATGCTGGCTGAAGCCTGATAAAGATGGAGAAAATCAAATGTTAGGAAGAAATTCTTTACTATGAGGGTGCTGAGGCGCTGGCACAGGGTGCCCAGAGAACCTGTGGCTGCCCCATCCCTGGCCGTGTTCAAGGCCAGGTTGGACTGGGCTTGGAGCAAGCTGCTCCAATGGAAGGTGTCCCTGCCTGTTGCAGGGGTTGGAACTGGATGAGCTTTAAGGTCCCTTCCAACCCAAACCACGATTAGAAGTGACTGACAACACTGGCAGAATGGGAAAACGCAGCCTAATGATCCTGTTCTATGTCCTCCCTCTTCTAACGATCAAAGTGCTTTTACAGGTAATGCTGTGGCATTAGTGTAAGCATTTTAAGTGTTTTGTCTAAAAGGCTGTGTCTGTCTAACAGCACCTGCTATTGCAGTGAGTACAGTGGAAAACCTTGTCACGATACAATGATCTCGGTGGTGTTACTGCTCTGAACAAGCCCTAACTGAAGTGATGGCTTTCTTTAGGAACGCCACCACGCAAAGACCGTTGGAGAGATCAAGCAGTTTGTCTCACAGCTGCCACACATGCAGGCGGCAAGAAGCTCTCTAGCAAACCACACCTCCATTGCAGAACTCATCAAAGACATCACCAGTGAGTAGTCCATCATCAGTGAGTGTAACAGTTGTTCTGACTCATTTCACCACAGCAAGATGCAAGACAACTTGATGGACATTATTCAGCCTGGCAGAAATGGGCTTTGCTCCATCCAGTGCATCTCTGCTGAAATGTCATTGTAGGAAATAAGCTGTTGGTTGCTGTTCTATTGACTTTCATTCTTTTCCCAAAGCATCTGAAGATTTCTTTGATAATTTAACGGTGGAACAAGAGTTCATGTCTGGAATAGACACAGACAAAGTAAGTAGATAATGACAATTAGTGACTCTTAATGTCCTGAAAACAAAACCCCCAAACCAATATATTTCTCTGGGTTATTTTTCCATTTGGGGTTTGGGGTTTTTTTTGCTAGAGGAAACATCTGCTCTAGGTGATGTCTGTCTCCTTTCAGTGTCAAGGCTGGGAGCTCTCATGTGCATCTCCTTGCATATTTGCAGTTTGAGGAATCAAGGGAAGATTGAGGACTGGTAATCAGGATTTTTTCAGTGCATCAGATAAAGTTTAGCTATTGACTGTGGAATTGTGCTTCAGAGACACAGGGTGGAACCAGAGCTGGATCACTGATTACTGGTCTTGAGGTGCCTGGGGAGCAGCTGCCCCCTCTTTCTCGCTATTTCAGAGATACTGGGCAAAACCAGATCTTTCATTCCAGGTCTTGTAGGCACTTCAATAGGCCTTTAAATAATAGCTTATGTATTTTTATTTATCTTTTTTAAAATAGGTTAACAATTACATTGAAGACTGCATAGCTCAAAAGCATCCATTAATCAAGATCCTACGCCTCGTTTGCTTGCAATCTGTGTGCAATAGTGGACTGAAGCAGAAGGTTCTGGACTACTACAAAAGAGAGATTCTCCAGGTTGGCCTGGATGTTTTGGATCCACACATTTCTAAGAAAATCCCACCAAATCCTCAGCTCTGCTTTAAAATACACTTGCAGTTTAGACAGACCCATCTTGTACATGGGCAGTGCTGACTGCCAGCGTGTGCAGAGGGAATACTGAGGCTTCTGGGTGCACTGACAGCAATGGCTCAGGAGGTGCTGATATATTTTACAACACATAGATACAAAGGGGTTTTACATCATTGCACTTTTTACTATCACGATCTAAACACTTCAGATTAACCAAAAAGCATCTTTGCCTTTATATTTTTTAAACACTTTGGTCATGGATTATTGACATGCTATTAAAAGTGAATTCTTCATTTTGCAGACTTATGGCTATGAGCATATATTGACCTTAAACAACTTGGAGAAGGCTGGACTCCTGAAACCTCAGACAGGCGGTAGGAATAACTACCCAACGATCAGGAAAACCCTGCGCTTATGGATGGATGATGTCAATGAACAGGTAAACTGACACCTCCACAGTGAACATTACATCTAACAACACAGAATTGGGTGCAGCAGGAAAACCTTCATCTTTCTTTAGTTATTACTATTTTATGGTGCTGTTTTGCAGCATGAAGCAGCTCTCACCCACTGCTCACGCTCTGCTCTCTCCTGCAGAACCCCAACGACATCTCCTACGTATACAGTGGCTACGCACCGCTGAGTGTCCGCCTGGCACAGCTACTGGCTCGCCCAGGGTGGAGGAGCATAGAAGAGGTTCTGAAGATGCTGCCAGGTCCCCATTTCGAGGAGAGGCAGCAGCTACCCGCTGGCCTTCAGAAAAAGCGTGAGTTTTGCTTTGTTTTCCCATTTTTGAAAGGGAGATGCATGTCTCTGTGGCATGCAGTGCAATGGAACAAAGCAAACTGAAATCAGAGTCTAGGCACCTATCTCATCTCCCTGTCCCACTGCAGTATTAGGTCTACCAAAGCTATTTTGGACAGATAGCTTCCCGGCCTCTTTAAAACATCCAGTCACAAATTCAGCCTGCTGTTAATGCATAGCACCATGTGCACTGAAGACAGAACAGAGCCATACATGTTTTAACTTCTCATGAGAGTACTTAAATAAGCCCTAACCTTACACTGTGAGTTTAATAACTAACATTACTTTGCACTCTCTAGTCTTAAGCCTGGGCAGGCAGGAGCCCATCCTCTAAAAAGACTCCAGAGCTGGGAGGAGAGTCTGCATTTCTGGGCCTGGTGCTTTGCCCAATAGGTTTCTCCTCTAATTCAGCTGGTATCTTTATTTTAGTTTAGGTTATTTTGAGTCTGACTGACAGTTGATGTAAAACTACAACCTGTAAATGTCTCTGAACACACAGGTCAACACGGTGAGAACAGAGTCACTCTGGTGTTCTTCCTGGGAGGGGTAACCTACGCAGAAATCGCTGCACTGAGATTTCTGTCCCAGATGGAAGATGGAGGCACAGAATATGTCATTGCCACTACAAAACTGATCAATGGGACAACCTGGATGAAATCCTTGATGGAAAAACTGGAGCCTGCCCCAGTCTAAGGTGTGCGGTAAGAGACAGTGAAGGTGAGAGGCCCTGTGGACACAAGCACACCAACTTCTGGTCTTTTGGCATGGCTTGAACGTCAGGGAAACAAGACAGTGCAAGAAGCTCTCCTGAGACCAGCTCATGATGCAGTTACCCTCATCCCTCTCTGCATTTGGGTTCCTACTGTTTGTGGAACTTCTAGTAGACAAAATAGCTCCTTTCAAGTTACTTCAGCTTCTTCAGAGCTGAAAGGCACTAACAATGAAATAAACAGCTCGTGGTCTGGATTGGCAAAGAAGTGGTGGGGTGGCAGGGGTTGGGCCTGGTGCTTCCATTTGGCAAATTGCTGCTTTTTGTCTCCCCTTTCAGTTTATTTGCAGTAGGAAATGTGATTATTCCTTTGTTACCCTCCTAAGGTGCTGAGGAGGCAGGATGTTTTCTGTTCCTGCTGTCACACCAATATTCCCGGCTGACTCCACAGTGGAAAGAGAACTCCTGTAAAGGGGAAGCAGTAAGTTTTTCACTGCGTATCTTTACAAACTTCCCAGCTCTTGGGCATCCAGAATAATGCAGTTGCAGGGCGTGCTTGGCCTGTGCTGGCTCTTACAAGCTGGCTGTTATGGTGAGGTACCTGTAGGCCACACTCAAATCCACTGTCCTGCACACTTTGGCCAAGACATTCGTTGGGTTTCCTGCAGCAACAGCTAAACCTTGAACTATCCACACGCACATCAACAACACTGACTATGAAAACAAGTAACTGCACCCAAATTATGAGGGAGATGCTTGAGCCTTTCACTGCAGTCGCCCTCTGAAGGCTTGTTTGTCCTGGGTACACCCACCTGACTCAGGAAAGCTACTCCAGGGTATAAATTACATCAGTATGTCAAAAGCTTATGTCTGAAGACACAAACACTCCCTGCATGGGACTTGGGCCAGAAATAGCTGTGTCAGTGACCTAGTAAACAGTGGGTTTCAAACAGACACTTCTTCAGTCTCCCTGTTCAGTTTATAAACTGTGGAACTTGCTGCCACAAGCTATTACAGAGCTCAACATCATAAAATGGAATTTTCCATGGTCTTGGTGGCAGGGCCCCTGGCATTTCTGAGCCAGTGTGTGCTAGAGGCAGCTTCAGCTCTTGGAGACTTGGCCTTGCTAATGGCCATGGAATGGGAACGCAGAGCAGGCTCCTTGCTTAGGCCTGTGCAGCTGCCACTGCTAGAGCCTGGTGCTGTGCCTCAGCCCTCTTGCTCCATGGTCACACCATCACTCTACTCACATGCTTCTCCAGCAACCACTGGGGACATTTTAAATAGTGAAAAACAACTGAAAAGACCCATCCCACATCTTAAGTCACTCTCAGCAAACACAGATGCTCTCAGTTATCCTGCAAAATGCACAACACATCCCAAAACCCCCTTCATTTTGCCAAGGGGTGACGTTTATGATTGTGGGTTTCAGTCTTGTTTTGTAAGATTGAGTTCTGCCAAATCAGCCCCATCACAGAGCCCCTCTGTCTGTTTAACTCCACTTGTCTCATTAGAACAAAATAAAAACTGTATTTGGCCTTTCTTGGATGTGTTTCTCTCTCTTTCACTGGAATGCAAACCTAAATAAAATAAACCAAACCTCTGCACTCGGGTCACTGTGTCCTTCTCCCCCTACCCCAGGATAACTGAGTTACTTGAAGCTATTTCTCTAACAGCTCAATGCTTTTTCTTTCAGTTTACACACTAATTCCATTCTGTTCTGCAGCTGAACATACTACCTCAAAACTACACATGGGATTTCTTGACTTCTGAAGAAAGATACATTTTTAATCATTTGAGACTTTAATTTAGGTGGGCAACATGCACGCTTGTCTTGCAGAAACAAAATGTGCTGCAACTTTGACAACAACGTAAGGAGCAAGCATGAGCTGCCTTGCTCTGAGTTACTGCTGTAGACCCACTGTAAAGTAGCTAATTTCATAGTATTTAAAAAGAAAAGTAAGTTTGGAGCAAAACTGAGATGTTACTGGGCAAAGAAGAGCAAGAAACAACGATGTGAGTCCGTGCAATCCTGACAGTGTCCTTTGCTGAGCCCTGAATCTGTTGTACTACCACCATTTCCAGATTTATTCTTTTTTTTTTTTTTAATCTTAAAAATTGAACTAATCACAAGGAAATTACAGCACTGCTCAGGCTGGTTTGTGAACTGAGGCCACGACGTGTAAAAGCTACACCATAAGCAAATAAAGGAACCCATTCAAGAGCTTGCTTACCTTTTCACTTGGCCCAGCGAATGTGGTTATTTGTTACTGACACTAAATGTAAAACCTACTTTGAATCTAGCTCACACCCAACACTTAGTAAACCCTAATTTATCAACACCACTGCTGCAGATCTTCTGCACTGTAGCCCTGCACCACCACTAAGCTGGAGCCATGCGGGCACTCACCCTGAACAAAGTCTCTTCCTGGAACTCTCCAACAACACCAACACAAACTAAAAGCCATCCTGACGTTGATCAATTCTCTGGAGGAGCAATTACTTCTTAACAGGCTTCCTGAGCATCTTGATTATGTTCTGCTTCTGGCTAAGGCCTTGCTGACCACGCGGGTAATAATTTGATAACAAGAGAGCCTAATTAAATTATGGGGCCATTTTCTACATCATAATATCTTTGTGAACAAGAGATTTGATTTGCAGTACATACTCTTCCCTCTCACTGCTCTATGCATTTGTCTGGTTTACAAGCAAAAACCATAAAGAAACCATTAGCCAACCTCCACTCTGGGAGAATTTCTCTTTTCATAGAATATTATCAGAAAACAGTTTTGCTAAAAATAAATGCATAGCTTATATCTCCCTCCTCCTCCCTGCTGCTCACTCTCTAAAAGGTAGAGGTGACTGGGTGTGCGGGGTTAAGGTAGATCAGTGAACTAGTGACAGCGCAGTGAGCAGTGAAGCTTCAGCACTTGCTCTTGTTTGATAAGAGGCTGACTCAGTTCATAAAGGTACAGCAAGTAAAGTGCTGCTGACCCGAGATGATCCCCATGTGAGCATCCTTCTCCCTGAGCGACCTACAGGAGCACTGGGCTCTCAGAGAATGGAGCAAGAGACACAACAGCATTCCACATAACTACAGAATGATGTGTAACTGCAGGATAAAGTGACACAACACTTTGCTAGAGGAAAACAAAGCATACATTTAAGCAAATGCAGTTTTGACCTGGTAACATTAAGCCATGGGGCTTAACCTCACCAAATACTGTTCACAAAAGCACTCTGGGGAAGGGAAGCTATTTGGCATGCTCTGTTTTGCTGTGCTATGTCATATCATAACTGGTCCTGGCCACACCTAGTGCATTAGTCCTCATGCAGGCTGCAAACACCAGCTCATTACTTCTGGCTCTCGGATGAGCAGAGCAGAAAGGGATCAAACTACACCAGAAACCCGCTAGAAGGCAGAAATTCAAGGGGCAGCTGCAGAAGAACTAGAGAGAAACAGGAACTTTACGAAGTAGCGCCCATCATCTACCTGGGTAAGCAGCTTATTTCTTTATCCACTTCTTTTTAGACAAGCAGAAATCATGTAAAGTCTATAGATAGAAAACCCGAATGCTCTGAACAACAGGAAACCATGCCTGGTTTTAAATTGCAATCGCTCCTTTGATGTATACCTGTGCTTGAGCTTAGACTGAAATGACTGAACTCTTCAGTAAGACCAAAAAGTGAACTCTATCACAAAAGCTCTTCAAAAATATTCTAAGTATCTGAGTGGGAATTCAGTTTACTTTGCTGGCTTTACACTATTTAGAAGAGAAATAATCCTTTCAGGTTAGCTTTATCTTAACTCTGGTTTTAAATCCCCTTTTATGTGTTTGACCAAGAGCGTTGCTATATTCAACCAGGCACAGTTATGATCAAAATTGAAAAGAATATGTAAATTGGAGAGATGGTAGAATTTTTTACGTGGGTCTTCACAGCTTTAAGTCTTAAGGAACCAACAACTTTTGTGAAGGAGTTCAGATTTTGTATGAAACTAACAAATGAACGATCACTTCTAAAACGATGTGCAAGTATGACTTTAAGATACAGCTAGAAGGCGAATTCTAAAGCATCTTATCCCATGTCTCCCATTTAAGGGTTATTTTTAACGTGAGATATAAATATTTGCCTGTGCAAACTTGTATTTAAGCCCCAGTTTTCATCCTTCTTAAACAAAAGGCTCAGTTTGTGCCAGTATCTCCATTAGATGCAATTATATCATTAAATATTAATGGTGGCTTCCTTGGAGGAATTGACCACTTTGATCAGAACACATTGTTGATAATGCACCATCAGCAACCACTCTGAACATGAAGCTTCTCAGATGCACTGCCACTGACACAGAGATCCCAGGAGCCAGCTGGACTCTGTAGGGGCCTCTCCCTATACCAACACTGCCCGTGTGTGGCTGTGTTTTAATTTGCTTAATTACCAGTCCTGATATGGAGACACTGATCACATCCCAAACCCTTTTCAACACTGCAGCTCGGCAGCCGTGTACAGGGCTCTGAAAAAGCACACACACCTGACAGTGACAACTTCTCAAGAAGGATGGGTGGCCATTACCCCTCCTGAATGCAGCCATTTCTCCCTACATTAGAGCCACCCCATCAGCTCTGCAGTCTCCTTGCTCAGAAACATTCATCCTGTCCCTTTTCTCAGACAGCAGCAGGAGCACAGAGGCAGCCAGCCCCAGAGACCCTACCTGCACGGTGCTGGGGAGAACCATGCCGGACTCCTTCACCATCCACTTCCTGAAGGTGCTGAGGGAGCTGCTGGCCTTCGTGCTCTTCAGTTACACCGTGTTGGTCGGGGCGCTGCTGCTCGCTGGATGGACAACGTACTTCTTGGTGCTTAAATGAGCGCTCTCCAAAGGGAACAGGCTCCACTGTACAGCTCATCTGTGCATCTGCTCATCACAGGGAACGGTCCCTTCCTCCTGCAAGTGTTTTGTTTCATTACTGCCTAATCACAGTCTTATTTTCTTATGTAAAAACAATAAAGGTTTCCAAAGCATCTACATGCATGCACTTTACTGATCTGTGTGGCTCTTGCAGCTTCTTTGTGGCTCCTACACATTTGCCCCTGTTCCTCAAAATGTTTAAAAGCCTCCCAGCAGTTTTCTCCTGAGATTCCCAGCCCATGCTCTGCCCCAAGAGCACAGCAGCCTGCCAAGCACAGCGGATGGACAGGAGGGATGCAACACAATTCAAACATGACCAGTATCTCATAGGAACAAGTCCTGCCTTGTCCGACTCTGCCTCATTAAGGGTGTGAAGGCTGAGATGCACAAATTACTTGTAATTATTTTTAGATGTTCTGGAAAAAGACATCTCAAATCAGCACAAGGTTTCCCTCTTCCTGCAGTTTTAGGAGGATATTTCATGGGGGGCACCAACACCACGTTATCCACAGGCTTATTATTTGGTGCTCTCAAGTTTGCTATGCTTTTCAGCAAATGTTTAAAACACAGAGTTAGCTAAGATGTGCCTGTGATGCAGCACTGCTTGAAAGTAAACTGCACTGAATGAACTGTAACAGAGAACAGACTCTGCTATAAATAGAGTAGGTTCAATTGACCAAGGCTTTCATGTGGAACTATACAGGAAATCTTTGCTGGAGGAGCTGGGGATTATCACCAAGAAGCTGCGGATTATCACTGGTGTGGAACGAGCCGAAAGCAAAGCACTATTATATACACTTGTAAAACAAAGACAAACTGAAGGAGGGGGTGTGGAGCAGAACCTGTGTAAGCCGGTCCGTGCGATCACAGCCATCACTGATGACCTGACACAGCTGCGGGCTCTTCCCTGCTGAGCTGGGCCGGCCCCTCAGGTGCCCCTGAGCACAGGAACACTCAGGAGCTGCCCAGCGCGGCCGGCGCTGAGACCCCGGCACCATTCGTGCTCCCCAGGGCCTGCCCCGGGCAGGTACCGCTCCCTGCGGGGCGGAGACCGGAGGCTCCATCGCTCCTTCCCGCCGCCGCCCTCACAGCCCCACACGCTCGCGCTCCGCGCATGCGCCACCCTGTGGAAACCAGCCCCTCCCCGCCGCGGCGCGCTGACGTCACTTCCTACGCACCGCCCAGTCCCAAGATGGCGGCGGGCAGCCGGTGGCTCCGGAGCTGCTGCTCCCTGCTCAGGTACCGGCGCTGCGGGGCGGGGGCGCTCCGGTGGGGCCCAGGCGGGTGTTCAATGGGCTCCGCCGCCCGGCTCCGTCCCTGCCGCTGAGCGCCCGTTGTAACTCGCTTCAAGCCAGTTTGGAGCGGCGGCCTGTGCCACAGAGACTCGCCTCATCCTTGTCTAGCTGCCACAGCGCGGCTGGAGGAGCACAGGCTGTGGTACCCACACAGCGCTTGCCGCTGAGGGAATGTAGGTTAAGAGTCCGCAGCGTAAAAGAGGACACCAGAACAACAGCAGAAGCCTCACGGCTGCGGATGCTCCTCTGCTCGAGTATTTCAGAGATAGGCCCTGACCCCACAGGCTAATACACAACGTTGGATGTCAGTTTCACTGAACCCTGGGTGCACTGGGCTGCAGCAAACTAGTATCAGACGTACTGCTCACCTGCATGTACCTTATATCACTTTTAAGCATGCTTTTTAACTTGCTTTTTGATATTATGTAATATTAGCAGTGTGTTGGTACCAGATAAGATACATTTGCACCTCTCAAAGGATTAATAACGTGCTAGTCACTGTGCTTGTCTCTTTTCTTGCACTTATAACTAAGTAATGTAACAATTTAAACCAAACTTACCCATTCACTATTACACAACTGCATTATGGAAGCTCAGGGCACTCAGGACAGCTTCTAGGTGTTCCCTTCCTCTCCGATACCTGTTGCCCACTGCACACTGGTTACTTCTCGTGCTTACCTTTGTTTCTTGCGTTTCCAGACGAAGCTTCCCTGCTGTGGCCAGTGTCAGGAGGCGCTGCTTCTCGGGCGTGAGCGGGCGATGGCACCAAGTGGTGGGAGTGGGGCTGGGAGTGTCCTTGTGCGCTGTCCCCATTGTGGAGGTAAGGTACCAGCAGTGGTGCATGCAGAACCTGCTAATTACAAACAGTTTAACACTCAAAAACGCTCACTTAGCATTTTACAAAGTGCATTTTACTTGTCCTTGGAATTGTGTTTCTGCTTGGGGATCACAGGTGTTTAAGATATGGTTGTTAAGGAGAAGAAATGAGGAAGTAACACCTTGTAAAAACAGTTGTCTTGTTTTACAGTGGAAAAACAGTAGCAAGAATTGGGCTTTCCAACCTCGTAAATAACGGTGCTTTTCCTTATCACTATTTATTGCATCCACATGAAAGTCAGGGTAAAAGATCATGCAGATATCTTTGTCCTTCAGCAGCAGAATGTGGTTTCTCTCAGCAACGATGCCTTGATTAAAAGAGCAGTTTCCTTGGTCACAGACAGCACTTCTACACTCCTCTCCCAAACAACATACGCACTGATTGAAGCATTGACAGAGTATACAAAGGTAAGCTGAGAGATTGTGTGCTGTGCTAGCAAGTCAGCAGTGGAAATAGTAAACAATTTGACATGAACTACACCCGTTAAACCATACTTGGACTGGACTTTGGCTGGTTTATTGTTTTCAATAACAGAGGTGTGGGGTTTGAAGAGGTCAGGTCTCCGGGAAACAGTGGGGTAGGGCTCCCTGCGCTGCTACACCAAACAGAAGTTACCTTTAGCTTTGTTAGACTGTTGCTTTGAGCTTGAATTTAAGCCAGAATGCCCCATGTCTCAGAACTGGGGTTAAAGAAACTCATAACAGATATTGGATACCTGCATACTGAGTAAGTAGGATGCACCACCCTGTATTAGGTATTTTATTTACCTTCTGTTTCCATTTCTAAGACTATAAACTTGAGTTTCATCAGAAGAATGGAGTGAGTCATATTTAAGCATGAAATAAGAAGGTAGAGTTTTAATTTTACAAGTAAGTGCCAATTTGAGTAAAATATTCGCGTTCCAGTTTACCTCCTTACTAGTATGGCTAGCATGCAAAGAGATTTTGAGCACAGCTGTGCTGTAGGCAGACAACAAATGCTGTCAGTGCCCCCAAAACTGCAGTGAATTCAGAACAAAGCACTTCTAGAAACATTTAACAATTGTACTAATACCAGCTAACACAGAGACAACATCAGAGATGTACAGATCACCATGTAACTGAAATGATTCCTTTGCAGGCAGTTTATACACTGGTGTCTCTCTACAAGCAATATGCAAACCTTCTTGGGAAGATGGATTCAGAAGAGGTGGATGCAGTTTGGCAGGTGGTGATAGGAGCCAGAGTCGATGTAAGCATCTCCCTTCAGGCACCAGTCTGCCTCTTAAAACTCTGCTCAGAAACTCCTCTCGCTTGCTCACCTTTTCAGGAAGGTGCTATTTGGAAGAGTGTTCAGATACTGTTACATCTGGTTAAGTAACACATTCTTTTACTCCTAGGTGAGAACAAAGCAGGAGGAATACCTAAGGCTGGAATCCAGCTGGATGACAGCACTACGTCTTTCAGAGATGGCAGCAGAAGCTGCATATCAGTCAGGTAATACTGAGGATGTCTTTCCCCTCACATTTAGGCAGCATTTCTTGCATGAGAATGGAGTTGAAGAGACCCAGAATATCTGTTCAGGTCACACAGCAATTTACACCTAATGCCTGGTTTTTAGAGATGCTGAGAGCTTCTGTTATTTTACTGGCTACAGATCTAGTAGATGAGTTTTGAGAACTAGGCCTGGAAACTTCACATGTGGTTTAGATCACGACCAACCGTGCCAGAAAAATGTTTCAGGGAAGCATTTAGTCATTTCTAAATGCAGTGGTTCCAATATAGCCACAGAAATAAAGCTACCTAGGAGGGTCCAGCAGATCTTTCCACTTCTGTTAAGGAGTGGGAATATTTGCCTTTCACTCAGGAAACAGATTCATTTTGGTCTTTTCTCCCTGGATACACCCTTTCTCAAAAAGTTTAGGCCTTGATAGCTCCAAGATTGAGTCATGGGCTGGCTTATGGTAAATCAGCAAAGTTACTGGAGTGGAGAAGGGGAGAAAAGCGATGAACATACAAGGACACCCTGACTCTGCCAGGGCCTGGAAAACACACAGGGTCTGTCAGGAGAAGAAGGCATTCTGAGTTCAGCAGTGATACAGATATTCTCACTGCTGGTAGGTGCCTGGACAAGGACTGCAGGTTCCTGGCACACAATGGCTGGGCTTAGTTCTACAACCCACTACCACAAGCTAATTGCTCTGATCAGACACTGGCTGTAATCCGGTTAGGTGGGAAGAGTTCAAGGGGGCAAAAAATAACCTCAAAGCAGGCAAATTACTGTTGAAGGTAAATGAACAGCAAATGCATTTAGCATTAATGGAGCCCAAGAGCCATCAAAACACTTAGCAAAGCAGGTGATAATTATAGACAGTAGGTATCTTAACTGAAGGTTTGCTGAGTGTTCCTCTAGCCCTCTGTATTTAAATCATTACCCCAGGTGCAGACCAAGCCTCAGTGTCAGCCCGCAGCCACATTCAGCTGGTGAAATCACAGGTACAAGAAGTGCGACTGCTGTCCCAGAAAGCAGAGACCAAATTAGCTGAAGCTCAAACAGAAGAGCTCATCAAAGCTCAAGGAGAGGATTCTTCATTCCCAGAGGGTATTTTAGGAAGCTCAGAGGCAGGTGAGGACCCTTACCTGCGGGAGGACTAAAAAGAATTCAGATGTCACCTTGGAACATGTGAGAGTCAACCACAGATTGAAGGGTCCCAAACTTTTCAGTGTGGCATTGTGGGAAACTGCTGAAATAAGCCTGCGATTCCATTTTTCAGACAGGACTGCTTTACAAATCAGGTCAGTTCCAAGTACCTGAAAGGCCTCGATCTTGTTTGTAGCTTGCCATGTTTGTAATACTCATGGAGTCAGTTATTTAAATGTTTAACTATGCAAATGTGAAGATTGCTATCAAGGATAGCTGGTTGTTAATAGTCTCTCTGCTGGGAGGGTCCTACCACTAGTGATATG